AGGTATAATTATATAATATATGAGTCAAATATATATTATATTATATAATTTCTTTATTCTTACTTTAAAAGCAAAAAAGAAAACAATTATAGAGTGATTTAAATCAATATATTTCAATAAACATCAGAGTATCATCTGTGTTATTAGCTAAATATCAAGTAATTTAAGTTTTCCCTAAACAATTGGAGAAGTAGATATTAAGCGAATCACACTCAATATTAAAAATACATATGTTAGAATTTTAATAAACTTTTAAAAACAAACTTTTAGTCAATAAGTATTTAGTCAGTCCCTTTCAGAAGCTGAGTAGGTAGCTGGAACTTTGGGGAGACAGGATTATAATACATCTTCTCTTATCTTCCAAGAAGTTTAGTTTCATTAAACCAAAGTGACTTCACAGTTGGGGCTCACATATCTTAAAGAATGGCTGCGTGTTAGTTTAGAGTTATTATCCTCTGGTAAGCATGCATATTCAAGAGAGTGTAAGGCAGGGACACAAGCTGTAGCTGAGTCCAGTAACCAGAACTCAATCTTTTGAACACCATTTTGATTTAGATCAAAGGAAGTATGGCATCAGTGTAGCTGGTATATCCTCAGCCTAGGGCTCAGGTACTCTTCTGATTCCTATGGAGAAGGAAGGAATACATAAAACCAAAAAGGGATTCTTTTTACTATTAAAGTGCCATTCCATAGGATAAAATGGGAATAACTGTATGTGTGCTCACTTAGGCAACACATATACTTAAAAATAGGAATAACTGCATGTGGTCTGGACTGTGTCTCTCAAGGAATGGGAAGGAGTTCACTGAGGAACTGAATAAGTGCATAGAATCAGTCCTTCTTTCTCAGATATTTTTTTAAATGTAAATGAGTTTTCCGAAATTAAACTTTCTCAGGTCATTCAAAATGGATAAAAAAATATGAAACACATGTACACACATAAACACACACATACATTCCATACAATGGAATATTACTCAACCATTAAAACAAATGAAGTCTTTTATGACAACATGAATGGACCTAGAGGTTATTCTGCTAAGTGAAATAAGTCAAACAAGGACAAATATCAAATGATTTCACTTATATGTGGAATCTAAAAAGCAAAACAAAATGAACAGACAAACAGAATCATAAATACAAAGAGTAAATGTGGTTGCAGGGGAGGGGACAAAAAGGGGGATGGGTGAAATAGGTGAAGGGGACTAAGAAGTACTAACAGGGGGCCTCCTGGGTGGCTCAGTGGGTTAAGCCTCTGCTTTCCGCTCAGGTCATGATCCATGATCCCGGGGTCCTGGGATCAAGCCCCGCATTGGGATCTTTGCTCAGCAGGGAGCTTGCTCCCTCCTCTCTCTCTGCCTGCCTCTCTGCCTACTTGTGATCTCTCTCTGTCAAATAAATAAATAAAAATCTTTAAAAAAAAAAAAAAAAGAAGTACTAACAGGAAATATAGTCAAAAATATTGTGGCATTTATGTATGGTAACAGGTGGTAACTATACTTACCGTGGCAAGCATTGTAAAACATAGAGAATTGTCAAATCACTATGTTGTACAGTTGAAATTAATATAGCATCATATGTCAACTATATTTCAATTAAAAATGAGGGACATAAATTAAGATCCAAAAATTTTTAAAATGGTGAAAATTTTAAGCTGTTTTAAAAAGTGAACAACTTTATAAATTTTGTGAAGATTGATTGTTTTTTAAGCTACAAGCTTGTTTTTTAACATAGATGGATAAAATAATTTTGGTTCTCTTAAATTCCTCAGTCTTGATTTACTTTACAGACTAGATTAAACAACCCTGAGAATTATAGACATTGAAAAGGGAGAAAAATGTAGAAAAAAAGGAGAAGTTAAGCAGGGAAAATACAAACCTTTAGCAAAATTGTCACTATTCACAGGGAAGCCTCTGCTACAGTGTGGATTATGAGTAGTATCTACATCATGATTATGGGCAACTTAAGATTTTTTCGATTTTTTTTTTAAAGATTTTATTATTTATTTGACTGAGAAAGAGAGAGAGTACAAGCAGGGGGAGGGGCAGAGATGGAGGGAGAAGCAGACACCCTTCACAGCAGGGAGCCCAAGCTGGGACTCCATCCCAGGATCCTGGGATCATGACCTGAGCTGAAGGCAGATGCTTAACTGAATGAGCCACCCAGGCCCCTGCAACTTAATATTTAAACATTATTTCATTCCAGTCCTCAGAAAGAAATGAAGTAAACTGGCTAAATTCACAATAGCCAATGGCAAATGTTATTGCTGGGACCTTCAGGCTTTGATCTGACAGGAGATGTAAGTACTTATTATTTGTATTTACTGTTTACACATAATTCATGTGCACTTAATACAGTACTTGTTGCATCTCTGATACTGTGTTAGATGTTGGGAAATTCAGTACATAAGAAATACAGTTCCCTTAATGCTATGTAATTCTCTCAGTTTTAGACATAGTCTGGCTTAGGAAATAGCGTAGCACTTTCTTCTTTATTTCCATTCCTGTGAGAAACATGAATGAAGAGCCTACCAATTTTTAGGCACTTAGGGTATAAAATCCTGACACTTGTCCAGGATCTTTTCAGACATTTGAGATATAAATTATTTGAAACGAGAGTGTAGCAATCTGAGAGAAAAGTAGATTAATGTGATGAGGGGTCAGAGGAAGGAAACTCATATTAATTAAACACGTATTATGTGTCAGACCTTCTGCCTGGCCTGGAAATATATACCAAGCCCAGCATCAGAAAATAGTCGCAAATTCTGAAAAATTGAAGTTACAAACAAGATCAATCTCTGCAACACATATTTAAACACATGCCAGATTTGGTTAGAAAAATATGTTACATGAGACTGGTAGGAGAAAAGACTGTATCTGTCCCTCAGATTTTCCTGCTGTAGAAAAAAATTCTCATTATGTTAAAAATAATTTATATTTAATATTTTGACTTTGAAAATGCATGCTAATTTTTACTCTCACTCTTCGCTTAGTAATAGGAATAATTACTTTGAAATGCAGTAGAAAATTTGACCATCATTCACATTCATGAAAATGGGACTGTATATGCAAGCTATGCAAGTAGGCTTGCTATAATTTAATGTATTATATTTTACAAGTATGGCTAAACAACTCTGCCTATCCATCCCTAAAAAGAAAATGATGTTTAAAAATATCCTCAAGCATACTTTTCAGTGTTTCTCATAATATAAAGAAATAACTAAAATAAAATTTTGCCTTATATGTGTTCCCATTATTTAGATGTTCTTCTAACTATTAGCTCCAACTCAAGCTATATAGTAATCATTTCAACCCTAAGAAGATATTGTGTTCTGACTGTATATATAGCAATTCTATAATCATGCAATATAATCTTGTATATCAATTATAAATACAAACCCAGAATTACACATAGCACTTGCTGCATTTAGACAAAGTTAAACTCTTGACCTGGTAGCTATTTTACCACAATGATATAATTTACTGGTTGCAGGGGAAAAGAAACAGCCCGAACTATACACTATTAATCCTATTAGTATTGTAGACCAGGAAATTTGCCCCAAATAGTTCTGTTACTAGTGCATTCAGGAAAAAAAAAAAAAAAAAAGTGAAGTTGATAATAGTATATTGAATACAGTAATGTGTAATAGGAGAATAGGGTAAATAAAAAGCAAGTGTTACACAGTAAATTATTGATGAGTAATAATTTATCAGCAACTTGAAAATAACAAAGGAATTAATTATAACACTCATTCCAAATAAATTAACTTGTATCTTTATCAAGTAAGTATAAAAATGTATATTTTTTTGGTACTATCTCAAACGGTCCCATTTTTGGTTCATATTCTAGTTTCTTTTGTGTCTGTACTATTATTGCACTTACAGTCAGATGTAAAAATTATTACTTTGATACAATACTTTAAAAATATGCTACATTTTCAGAAAGTTCTACTTATTTTCCAGAAAACATGTAATAATTATAACAGGACATTATGTTTTTTAATCACTTTATTGCTGAGCACATAATAGACATTCTGAAAGTAATGGTCATTTGCTTGAAAAATATACTAACCTCTTTGAAAACATAATTGGCTAGGCAAATGACAGTTTCTATGTAGTGTCTGAAGATGAACACAATTCTGATTTATTAAACTCCCTTTTTTACTTTTGGAAGTTTCAGAATTCTTATAACTCTAACTCTTAGATAATTTCCCATTTAATACAAGAGAAACATATATATATCTAGAAGAATCAAATAATGACTCATATAACATCTGGAGCAGTTCTCTCTCAATATATATGTGAGAAACACAACAAAATGATAGTTTGGTTCAAATTCACTAACATTGCTAGGTGATACTTTAAAAGTTTTTCAGTAAATTATCAAAATATAGTACTTGAAATTATGATATATTCTGTCTCTCTGTGTCAAGCATTTAAACCCTTCTATGGCACTTTGGAGTGATGTCATTAGAAGTAATTATCTTTTCACCTCTTATAAATACATCCAAGGATAGAACACACCATGTTTCTTCAAAGTGTAGGCCTCAAACATTTCATTTCAATTTACTATATGCTTCCAATACAGTTTTATACTCATTTCTATAAGGGGAAAATGATTAAAGAATGTCATTATAATATTTGAATGGATTTCTAGAAAGTGTTTCTTTCATCATGCCAAATTCGAATATCAGCATTTTACAAAGCCTAATAAGAAAACTCCAATGGCAATTTGCAAAAATATTAACTATAAAATTGATTTTAAAAAGCAACTGATCATTTAAAATTCACTCCTTTTTGAGGCATAAAAAGAAATACATGACAGGAAATTCATTACTAATGTTCATAAAAGTTCATCAAGCAGATGAGACAAGGTAAATCATGTGCAATTATGTGTGTATCCGTGTATAACAGAAATGTGTTTTGTTTTTTATGACTTACCCTGGCTTCCTATCAAAACCAGGGAGAAATCTAAAAGTTGATAACTCATTTAGCATTTACCTTATGTGGGTGATGATGAGTGTTGTAGTAGGAATAAAAAAATCATCCACTCGGTCAAACTGCTTTCCCACAGGCTGGGTGTGAATAGTATGGTGTGGCACATTCCCGCTGGCCAGCGTTATTACCTAAACAGAGCATACTACAGTTAGACATTGCCAGTGCATTCCCTTAGCAGTACCAGCATTAATTTTGTTTAGAGATGAAGCAAATCAGCAAATGTTTCAGAGACTCTTTATTGCCATCTCAAAATTAGTATATCATTAAGGAAATTGGATTTTTGTAATTGTTTGCTTATTTTCAACATAGAAATTTGTTTTTCTAAAGAAATAAAAAATAGAGAATGATTTGTCTTGAATAATTTCTGCCTAAATTATAAAATAGGTAGAAACAACTTCTGTATTATAAAAGCATTAACCTTGCTATAATGAGAAAAATAAAGCAACCGTACATATGATATAAATGAGATTATTGGTTGCTTGCTTCTCTTTCTTTCTTTCTTGCTCCTCTCTCTCCCCCTCCCTCTTTCCCTCCCTTCCTTCTTTCCTTCCTTCCTTCCACTCTTTCTTTCTTCAGCTTTGTGGAGTTGATGATAGTATATTGAATACAGTAATGTGTAATAGGAGAATGGGGTAAATAAAAGCAAGTATTACAGGTTTTTCTTTCTTTCTTCAGCTTTGTGGAAGTGTAACAACAACAACAAAATCCTCCTAATATAGAACACAGCTGGGAACAAAACTGAAAACTCCAAAACAAATCATATGAAATCATTTTAGTTCTTAGCAACTTTAGAACAGATTAAATTATAATATTTTTTCCTCCTAAATTTGAAATTAACAAAGTTCAGTAAGTTATTATTTATTATTATTATTATTTTAATTTGTTTAGAGAAGAGAGAGTGAGAAGTGGGGAGGAGGAAAGGGGGAGAGAGACAATCTTGAGCCGGCTCCCTGCTGAGCACGAAGCCCAACATTGGGCTCCAACTCAGAGATCCTGACCTGAGCTGAAAACCAGTAGTTGGATGTTTAACCAAACTGAGTCTCCCAGGTGCCCCAGATTTAAGTAAATTCTAATCAAAGACATTTCTTCTTCTTAGTCATCATTAATTGGTTTTTAAAGTCTTTATAATCCAGGGTGCTGGGGCGGCTCAGTGGGTTAAGCCTCTGTCTTCAGCTCAGGTCACGATCTCAGGGTCCTGGGATCTAAACCCTGCATTGGACTCTCTGCTGAGTGGGGAGCCTGCTTTCCTCTCTCTCTGCCTGCCTCTCTGCCTACTTGTGATCTCCCTCCCTCTGACAAATAAGTAAATAAAATCTGAAAAAAATAATAAAAAATAAATAAAACCTTTATAGTCCATTAAAGAAAAGATCACTACATTTAAATTCTTTTATTCCTTGTATCCCATTATGCACCAAATTCTATCAGTTCTTTCTTCAGATTTTTCACACCTCTCCATTTGTTTTCCTATTGTTTCTGCTGGTCAACCATTGTTCTGTGTTAGCCTTTTAAAGCACTTTCTGTCTTTATTTCTCCCCTTTTATTTTTATTTTTTTTATTTTTTTTTATTATTATTTTTTTAAAGATTTTATTTATTTATTTGACAGACAGAGATCACAAGTAGGCAGAGAGGCAGGCAGAGAGAGAGAGGAAGGGAAGCAGGCTCCCTGCCGAGCAGAAAGCCCGATGCGGGGCTCGATCCCAGGACCCTGGGATCATGACCCGAGCCGAAGGCAGCGGCTTTAACCCACTGAGCCACCCAGGCGCCCCTATTTCTCCCCTTTTAAGTCCTTTCTATATATGGTCCCCAAATTAAACTTCCTAAATAATTTACTGACTCTCTTAAGGTAATTACTTTCCTCCTTCAAAACGCAGTTTTTGGTTTTTATGACAGGAGTAAGTAGCACTTTGATTTTTTTTTTTTTCTGAATAGCTAATTTTTCTTCACTCATATGAGTATGCTTTCATTGAGTTCCCCTGGAAATTGCCTTTTCAATGAAAATAGTTTATTATGATTATAACAGGATAGGCTCAGTTACATTGTGGTTAAAAAAAAAAAAAGAAGAATAAATATACTAAAGTCTTAGAGGCTTGAAGATTTCATCTCACACCCATTAATTTCCCAGAGGGTTTTGGTGGGGTATCTACTGTTTCACTTAGTATCCCATGCTGAACAAGCAGCCAACTACCTTGACTGTTTCCACTGACAACAGACCACATTTGCCAGAACTAATCATATGGCTTCACCTAACCAAAAGGAGCCTATCGTGTGCCCAGAGGAAGAGAGAACCAAAGTCTTTAATAAAAGCTTGAAAGATACCATACCTATTTTATTAAGGAATGTCAGTGAGGACGTTTTCAGTGGATTTTAGCCATTCATGTCTATAAGATTTTAATAAAGGTCAACAGAAGTAATGGAAAAGGAATTCCTCAAATTTTCTTCCCCTTAATTTGTATAGGGGTGCCTAGCTCTGAAATGCATTCACACGTATTCAAAATTAATAATAATACTGAGACTGACGACAGCAATAATAATATTTACTAAGAGCTTGTTATATGCCAATTGTGTTCTCAGTAGTCTAAAGGCATCACATAATTGAATATTCAAACAACACTATAATGTATCCCAACCTTACTGATGCAAAAATATTTTATGCCAATGAAGGTATATTAAGCATCTGAGCATCTCCTTTGTGTTTGGCACAGTCCTAGGTTGTAAAAGATGCAATACCACTTCCATAGTTCTTCTCAGTCTGGACTTTGTTCCCTGATGGTTCTAGGTCCTTCTCACTGCTGCAGGTGAACAAGATGTAGTGGACTGCCAGATTCAGGACTGAGCTAACAGCAAGGACGCACAGGTTGATCTATGATGCACCTTAGTCAACAGGCCCAATCTTATGACAATCCTTGGTTCATTCCTAATTACATCTTGCTGCTGGTTCCTCCATATGTGATGTCTTCCACAAACCCACAGCTGCCACATCCCACTGTCACCCCATCTGGCTGGGGCCAACAGCAAGGTGTAAAGACTTTATTCCAAGTTGTTTCCTGAGGACATTTCTTCTCTAATTTTGTGCATTTGAAAAGACATTACATATGGATTGTAAAACTGTGCAGATGAGAGTCACATGACTTTTAGAATAGCATGTCTTAAATTTTCATTAGGCATAGACACCTTTTAAAAAGGAAAAAAAAATAACTATGATAAATCTTTGAGAATTCATCTGAGAACACTAATTGGAAAATCACTCTTATACACCTACCATGACAGTTTATGGGTTTTTATTAGTTAATTATAAAAATCACAGAAAATAATATATTTTGCTTCCATAATTGACAAAGATGTATAGATTGGATTATAGTCAAAATGAAAACACAAAGTAGAAGTATACATAAGACTTTTGGTCCTTGATAGGTTTCAGTGGCCACTATTATATACTACATTAGGGCAAAAATTTACTGCCTAACTACTCATCACAAGCTAGCATCAATGTCTCTAGTTCTAATCTGATCTATCAACACAGCACAAGGACACTTGGGCAAAAATGGGATTTTGCCCATGTTTTGGTTTGGTGATTTTGATTTCACCAAAGGAAAGTCTGTTTCTCTTGTCAAACCAATCTTAAATTCCATTTCCTTTTGCAAATGTTTCCTGAGAATCTTGTTGGAAGACAATCATCCTGAATATTCTGATATTTCTGCTGAGTCAGGTCTTTCTGAGCAAAGAGCTCTAGCAAAGTTGGAGAAAGGATGATGGCATAGCAAAAATGCCTTGGAAGATGAAGGTGGGGTATTGCACCTGAGAGAGGTAGAGACTTAATTCCCTTGAGCCTTACTGACATTCTAGCGCACTGATCGGGTAAAATTTGCATTCCAGAGTATAACAATCTCTATCTGTCATGAGAGGATAGATTGATATGCCAACAGTCTAAAAAAAAAGAAAAAAAATCCTCTGAGACACGTAATTCCAGGTTTCTTCTGTTAGTGCAAATGTGCTATTCATACAGAGTAACATTAGTCTCTCGCCGCATCACCCTTGGGATGGGGGCTGGAGTATAAACAATAGCACGCTCCTAAGTAAGAAATGGTCTGTTCTCTGATCCAGAGACCCTGTGTTTCCTGTCAGTCTGTCCAACTATCTATATATTATCTTATCTAATCTGTCACATATATATGTGTATGCATTTGTGTATAAATGTTACTTTATGCAAATAAATCTTACTATATGTACTATTTTAAGAGTACTTCTCAATTCTTACATTTTATTTTACATTTACATTATTTACATCTCAATTCTTACATTTTATTTTCAGGCGTGAGACTCACCTTTCCCTCTACCCAGCAAATATTTTAAAAATTCATTAAATCTTAAAAGCATATTTTTATTGAACTTTCAGAGAAAAAGAACCCATTTTTAAATGGCTGAATAATGTGTGGAAAGTTACTTAACACCTTTTCAAAGACTTTTTCTCCCTTTCTGTATGATATTAAAGGAGTTTGCCTAAAGTGCTTTATGGAAGGTTTGCAACACTGAGAAAGCTATTAATCTATCAAAGTAGCAAGTACCAAAGGGGAGGAGAAGGATTCAGTTCCAAAGAATATGCTATGTTGAAAATTCATACAGCTTTAAAAGAAAAAAAAAAATATATATATTAACTTTTATAAGCTGTGTTTATTTTATATTAAAGGTAATAGCATTAAATATAATTCATAAGGGAATTTTTTAAAAAATCATAGATATCAACCTGTTCTATCTTGTCAGGATTTAAGTACAAAATATCAAATAACTAGACAATATTACCATAATGTGATGACAGATGAAGACTATATTCTTTCCATCAAAATATGAGCTCTGTTACTTCACCCTCTTGAAACTAGGCAGTCAGTGTGACTTGCTTTGATCAAGAAGTTGTGGTGGTATTGGCACAAAAACAGACACATAGACCAATGGAACAGAATAGAAACTCCATAAATGGACCCTCAACTCTATGGTCAACTAATCTTTGACAAATCAGGAAAAAAAAAAATATCTAATGGAAAAGTCTCTTCAATAAGTGGTGTGGAAAATTGGGTAACCACATGCAGAAGAATGAAATTGGACCATTCTCTTACACCATATACAAAGATAAACTCTAAATGAATGAAAGACCTCAATGTGAGACAAGAATCCATCAAAATCATAGAGGAGAACATAGGCAGTAACCTCTTCGACATTGGCCACAGTAACTTCTTTCAAGACACGTTTCCAAGGGCAAGTGAAACAAAAGCAAAAATGAGGTTTTGGGACTTCATCAAGATAAAAGTTTCTGCATAGCAAAGGAAACAGTCAACAAAACTAAGAGGCAGCCCATGGAATAGGAGATGATATTTGTAAATGACATTACAGATAAAAGGCTGGTATCCAAGATCTATAAAAAACTTCTCGAACTCAACATTCAAAAAAACAAATAACCCAGTTAAAAAATGGGCAGAAGACATGAACAGACACTTCTCCAAAGGAGACAAATGTCTAACAGAAACACACAAAAAAATGCTCCATATCACTAGCCATCAGGGAAATACAAATCAAAACCACAATGAGATACCACCTTATGTCAGTGAGAATGGCAAAAATTAACAATAACAACAAAAAAATAGTAACAAAACAGGAAACAAAAAATGTTGGTGAGGATGTGGAGAAAGGGGAATCCTCTTACACTGTTCGTGGGAATGCAAGCTGGTGCAGCCACTTTGGAAAAGAGTAGGAAGTTCCTCAAGATGTTAAGAATAGAGCTACCCTATGACCCAGCAATTACACTACTAGGTATTTACCCCAATGATACAGACGAAGTGATAAGAAGGGGCACATGCACCCCAATGTTCATAGCAGACCTGTCTACAAGAGCCAACCTGTGGAAGGAGCCAAGATGCCCTTCAGCAGATGAATGGATAAAGAAGATGTGGTACAGGGGTGCCTGGGTGGCTCAGTGGATTGGGGCCTCTGCCTTCAGCTCGGGTCATGATCCCAGGGTCCTGGGATCGAGCCCCACATCGGGCTCTCTGATCAGCGGGGAGTCTGCTTCCCTTCCTCTCTCTGCCTGCCTCTCTGCCTACCTGTGGTCTCTGTCTGTCAAATAAATAAATAAAATCTTAAAAAAAAAAACTTATTAAAGAAGATGTGGTACATATATGCACTGGAATATTACTCAATCACCAGAAAAGATGAATACCCACTATTTATGTCAACATGGATGGAACTGGAGGGGGATTTTTAAAGTGAAGTTAAGTCAAGCAGAGAAAGATAATTATCATATGGTCTCACTCATATGTGGAACATAACCAGTAGCACAGAGAACCATAGGGAAAGGGAGGGAAATCTGAAGGGGGAGAAATCAGAGAGGGAAAAGAACCATGAGGGACTATGGACCCCAGGAAACAATCTGAGGGTTTCAGAGAGAAGAAGGGTAGGGGGAAGGGGTAACAGGATGATGGGTATTAAGGAGGGGACGTGCTATGATGAGCACTGGGTGTTATATGTAACTAATAAATCATGGAACACTACATCAAAAACTAATGATGTACTTATACAATGGCTAACTGAACATAAAAAAAATAAGTTAAAAAACAAAACAAAAAACAACAACAACAAAAAGAAGTTGTGGTGGAAGTCACTTAATGAGAATTCTAATGCCTACATCTTAATTAGCCTCACAACTTCCACTCTTTTATACCCTGGAACTACCATGCTGACATGCCAGTCTAAAGTATGACCAGGCACATGCAGTAGACCTAAGCCACCCAGCTATTCACCACTAATACATAACGGACGTGGGGGTGAGGCTATTTTAAACTACCCAGCTACTATAATAAGATGAGTGTGGCCATCTGAGTGTTCCCCAATTATGTCCACAAACTTCCCAGATTGCTGAACCACAAAACTATGGGTAGTAAGTCATTCTTTAATTCTAATTAACACATCAAATTTTAAGGTGATTTGATTTGCCACAATAGATAACTGGAATACTATTATATGTTAGATGTTTCAAATGACACATATTTCTAATGAAATATAATAGGAATCTTCATTCTGATAGTTCTCTTAAGAGATTTCCATAGTACTGTCTTTTGTAAGCTAAATATTGCAAAACTAAAAATCTTTCAAAAACATTTAAGATATTGGTAGTGACAATGGATTAAAATAAAAAACATGGCACTCAATTGACTTACTGAAAACCAGCCAAAGTTTAATGATTTGTAATAAGAGGAATGTTCACAGCCATGCTATAATCACAAGGTAGTCTGAGATATAGATAAAACATTTTCAGGGATGAATGTTCCTTCTCATTCCCTCTCAGTTTTCTGTTAAACTTTTAACTCCAATAATTGAAACTGTGCCAAAGAGACATTGTCAAAAGATATAATTTTTCCTCTGTCAAGTTCTATATAAACAACTTTAAAACATAAGCAAAATCTACAAAGATTATACCGCTTATTCCCCAATTAGAAATGAGTCTGTTCTCAGATAAGATCATACTACCTGTCTGGAGAAAAATAGAGATCTGCCTTGAGACTATCTAACTCTCTTTGTCTCTAGCTCACATGCCCCATTTTGAAAAAAGAGATGGAAACAAGAAAATTCTCATGAAAACTGGAGGGAGGCAGGTAATTGTTGAAAGACAAATTATGACTATTTTTCACTAATGGCATTGGTTTTCCTGTCATTGGTTTTTCTGTTTGCATATAGTCTAAACTTTGATAAGAATAACATGCAAGGGGCATCTGGGTGGCTCAGTGGGTTAAAGCCTCTGCCTTCAGCTCAGGTCATGATCCCAGGATCCTGGGGTCGAGCCCCGTGTCAGGCTCTCTGCTCAGCGGGGAGCCTGCTTCCTCCTCTCTCTCTCTGCCTGTCTCTCAGCCTACTTGTGATCTCTGTCTGTCAAATAAATGAATAAAATCTTAAAATAAAAAAAAGAATGACATGCAGTATTTTCCATTCAAACAAGTACCTGTGTATTAACTTCTTCACCCTTTTCTGTGCAGATCTAGAAGTGATTACAGTCCTCAGATGAAGATCACTCTCGAATAGTTATAAATATCCAATGAGATAGCTAAAGGTTTAAATATCACGGTTTTCTCAAATATACTGAGATGTGCTTACCTGCAGTGTTGGGGAAGTCTTTTCCATGGTACCCCAGCTCAGCACCCAGACCTGATCATGTGATTTGTCATAGTGTAATTTAACTGGTACAGGGTCTGTGCTTACTGCCTGCAATAAATGGGAGTTGAAAAAAAAAATGTTTTCAGATTGAAATATTAGTTTAAAACTATGCCAGACATTATGAAAGAACATAAGCGTTTAGATACCAAATTAAAAATTTATGTTGCCAACTTTCTGATTTTTCTAAACCTTGATTTTTCTAATTTGGAAATATGATACTTTACCCAGCATGTTTTTGCACAATTTTATATAGTGTTATGTTCCTTTATTACCTATGCGAATTGGGTGTCTGTGGAGAAGCTATTTAGGAATTTAAGATATATAGATGATTAATATGTATATTATATTCAATTGTTGAACACAGGTAAGAACTACATTTATACTATTAGGGTTTTTTTGCTTTGTTTTGTTTTTTTCATCCTAATGCTGGGCATGGGATTTGGCCATCTATAGTGCTAAAATGCCTAAGTCTGATATACAGTGATAACCCTAATGACAGATTACCTGATTTAATTTCCTTAACGAGAAATCTAAAATCATGGAAAGAAATAAATGCATTTTTAAACCATCTTTGATATGGTGAATGGGTTTTTCTGCTACTGTTTATAATATTTAGCATTTACTTAAAACAAAACATCCAGAAAACAGATTGCTGCCAGGAAGTTATTTCACTTACCTTCATTTCAAGCTATTTATATTTCAAGCTAATACCTTTTTTAAGTAATTTCCTGTAGTAGTTCTTTATGTATATTTTTCTAATTTTATAACATGAAACAAATTGTATTCAATAATACTACCTTTATTCAATATTGAAAGCATTTCTTTCTGAAGCTCTGGTGAATATCCTTAGAGAATTTCCCAAGTCCTAGTTCATAATGCAATCCTCTTCTCAGTGGGTTAAAGGTAAAGTACAGTTGTGGTTGAACATGTGAAGGTTCATATTTTAGCTAAATGTTGGCAATTTAGTCTTACTAAAGTATTTATTTTCAAAAGCCTTGCCCTGGATTTTATCTGTTTAAAATTCGCAATACTCTTGGATTACTGAATTAATTATTTAATTTCTTGAAAATGCCTACTTTAACATTTCTGTATTAATGTTTTCCTGACTTTCTTCCTGGCTAATAGAGCCATTATGTTGTTTTGGGATCTTGTGGCCAACAACTTTCTCAGGGAAGGCAGCTCACTTGGCGAGCACCAGAGATTTAAGCCTATTCCCCTTTCACAAATGCCAAGTTTCCCAGCCTCTCTAGTGGCTCCCGTGGTCACATGACCTAGTCTCATTTATACATGATAAGGATTAACACGATGAACGATATCATGTTTGACAATGATACTATGCCACAGTTTCTCTTTTTTCCTGCTTTGAATGCTATCATATAACAAGATTAAGCCTTCATTTCCAAAGTCATTTTGAGGCCTGAAACAATAAGCTTAAGAAGGAAAAGCCACACAATGCTTTGAGGATTTGGCAGGAGAAAAATGAAAGGAGAATGAATTCTCCATAACAGCCTTGAGTTGCTGCACAAACCTAGAGTAACTGTCTCTAGACGAGGTTATTTGGGATAATTAAATAGCTTTATTGCTTAAGAAATAGTCTGGTGTTTTGTTAATTGTAATCCAGTGAATGCCAGATGTTTCATTTAAATTCTTCATGTACTCATCGATAATTTCAATGTGTATATAGCAAAAGTGCCATCATTAATCATTACTTTAATAACAAAGCAATAGATTCCTTTGATTTTTCATATTTTCCCTTTGATATGTAAAACTTGATCTGTATGTGATTATAACAGTTACCCTATTTTGCATACAGCTTAAAAAGAAATAATCTCTAGGTCTTTACAATGTTAAAGATAAAATAGTTCAACAACAAAAGCAATAGTAACAAAGACCTCACTGTTATTCAATTGTTAAGAGTCAGTTACACGAAGAGCAAAGAGCTTTAGATAACTTTAAATATTAAGGAAAAATTAAAAAAAATAAAAAAATAAATATTAAGGAAAAATTTAAATGAAAATTTCCAGCTTGCCAGCTCTCATAAGGTTCTTTTCTTTCCCTGGTTCCTCTCCTAAGTATTAACTTCTAGGGCATACCACAGTCCATGGTTAAGTTAATATCCACATAAAACAGGGCAAGAAATGGAAACAGCCTTACCAGGAGTCATCCAGCAGGTGATCAGCAGAGCTGGGATTGGATGATCCGTTTATCCCCAATGTGCAACCTCTCTGAATATGAGCCACCATCCTTCCTAGTTGTTAGTTTAATTCCCAACACTGCGTGCATACTTGCCCTCCTATTGTTCCCTCATGTATAAGAAACATTCTTTGGACTTTTTCTCTTTTGGAAGGTGGAAGGAATTCAAGGGTCCAAATATATGCAGTATCATCTGTATAAGCAGTACAGACCCAGCCGAGAACCAATGAACGGCAGAATACACCATGCTTTTTTTTTTTTTTTTAAATTTTTGAAGATTTTATTTATTTATTTGACAGAGATCACAAGTAGGCAGAGAGGCAGGCGGGGGTGGGGGGAGGAAGGAGAGAGAGAGAGAGAGAGAGAAGAGAGAGAGAGAGAGGAGGAAACAGGCTCCCTGCGGAGCAGAGAGCCCGATGCGGGCCTTGATCCCAGAACCCTGGGAATCATGACCTGAGCCGAAGGCAGAGGCTTTAACCCACTGAGCCACCCAGGTGCCCCAAAGAATACACCATGCTTACCAGCATGCATTCTGAAGCCAACTGTGAATTTTAGGGTCCTCACTTAATGAAAAAAAAAAAAAAAAGTAAAATAACAGTACCTCAGGAAGTTACTAAGCTTTTCTGTGGTGTACCATGGAAATACTACTATTACTCTCAGAAAAGCTAATTGAACTAGAGGTATTTTCATGACAATAGCCTCATAGTGTTTTAAAGTTTGGAGATTCAGTATCTTTATTTAGCAAATGAAGAATCTGAGATTTAGAAAGTAAATAAACACAATCTCTGTCCTTAAAGAACTAGAGGCTAGAGGGTGGAAGAACTTAAAATAGCTAGATGCCCAGTCACAAAATAAAAATAAGGACCAAATGCTGGGGGGGAGGGGGGAGTGCAGAGGAAAAAGTACAAAGCTGGATGAAGGATAAGGGGAGGAGGTGATGCTTTGATTGAGCTTTTAAGTATGAATATTTTTATAAATGGGAAGACAGAGACTACTTTTTAAAGTTCACTGATGAGAATATGTTTCAGGAGATGTCAAAAAGCAGTCCATGAATAACTGCCTTCAAATAATTAAGATATACATATTTGAAAGAAAAAAACATCAATTTTCAAAACAGTGTTCAATTTTGAAAAATATCTGCTCAGTGGTTTCCGAAACGTTTGAACATTTTTGTCTCTCAGCATTTCAGAGGTTTGGTATTAAATTCAATACGTTTGGATTTTTGGTTATAATAGTTCACCAGAACTGAAAAAGATATGCAGATCAAAAATGAAGAAAAATGCATCTGACATACTTTATTTGGAAAATGTTTAACTCTTAGGGGGAAAAAATCTGTTTACAACTTTTCAAGTGTGCGGATATAACACATTTTACTGAGGGAACATTTACAAAGTTTTCAGCAAGATCATGTAACAAAGACATAAATATTTCCAAACAACCATCTTCAGAATAATCTTGCCGTACCCAATCTTCAGCCAAAAAACAGATATTTTCCTACTTATATTGTCAACTTTTGAAAGGAATAAATTGCACGTATTGGATTTCACAAAATACCTGCTAGTACACTCTGGAAATTACTTTAAATGATGAGTAAGTTTAGACCATTAGCTTTTGTAAAAGAGAAAGACACTATATTTAATACTTAAAATATTATTTTTCTTGCCACAATTAATCCTGTCTCTGTGTTATAAGTAGTTTAAGTATTTCTCCACATTTTATGCAAGGCGTTGTAAAGATTCTCTTATCCTTGACTGCCCTCTCTCTCCCATGCCTCACATTCTCAGGAAACCGAATTCCATCTGCCCTCTAAATACTGACCTCGGCAGTACCTTACCTGACACCATCAAGAACAGAGCCTCTATCCTCTCAACTCTCAACACATGGTTTCTAACTTTTAACTTTATATATACTCACCACCTTTCTCAACAGATTTGTTAAAATGATTTTTATTTTTTGGTAAGCATTAGACAGATCATAATACTAATCTTCTCAAAGCACTACAGCGTTTTCTCATTTCCCTCAGAGTAAAGACAGAAGTCCTTCGAATGACTACCATGCCCTGGCTGACCTGCCCCTTCTGTCTTCTTTCTCTGATCCCTTCACCTGCTACTCCAGGGGAGGTGCTCTGGGCCCCCTGCTGCTCATCCAGCATGCCAGCCACACTTCTGCTTTTCAGAGGGCTTTTCCCCTGAACGGTCTTCCCCTAGACAGCCCAGTGTCTGCTTCCTCAACATGTTCACTGCTCAGAACTCCTGCTCCCAGTGAGGCCTGTCTGATCATCCTGCTTAATGCTGTAACCAGCCTTCGCTTGGTACACATCTTCTCATCCTTAGTTTTCCTAATTCCACCTGGTCTTACACCACTGTTTTACCTTTTCTAAAGCACTTACCACCTGACCACATATTATAATTTGCATGTTTAGTATTCCTATTTTTCATTGTCTATCTTCATCTAATGGATTCTAGGTTCCAAGAAAGCAGCTTTTTTTCCTGTTTGTTTAAGTCAATAATACAACGTACGCACTTAGAACAATACTTTTAAATAGCAGTATTCAACATACAACTAATGGGACTTTAAATCTACATGACTGGGAAAAGCAAATTGCAAAGTTAAACAGTGTTCCAAAACTTATTAAGAACATTATTATTATTTTATTTAAGAAAGACAATTACACTCTGTACCATGCTTATTATGAACAGAGTTTTTTAACGTTTTACAAATAAAAATTATTTTAATTTAATCTTCGTAACAATTTTTGTGTTGAGGTATACAGTACTGTTATCTCCTTTGTAAAGATAAAAGTGAAGTAAAGTACCAATATTGATCCCCTCTTATTGTAAAACTCCTACTTTCGT